CCGCCTGGAAGGCCTCCCCCTGCCCCGCCCCGGCCACCCCCGGGTCCCAGAGCCTGGGAACCATAACAACTCTCGGAGAGCTTACTTTGGGTCCAATCATCCTCTCCGGTGCAAGCACGGGACACATTTTTGCTTCCTTGTGATTTATCCGCGATAACCACGCACCCTACACCTGAAATCTAGCAAACCCCATGCCCCGTTGTTCACACGCGTCTCACATGCCACCTCCCCCGATGTAAAAATGTAAGCACGTTCTTGGTTAATAAAATACGCGTAATCTATAATGAGATGAAAAAATAAGAGCCCTCGTCGGGTCGTCACCAGGGAAAGGCGGGCGGTGGGGGAGGGGGACGCAGGTAGTGATGCTAGGAAGGAGTGAAGGCTTAGTTCCTGCATCAGGAGCTCAGGAGGGTGTGTGAGGCCACTGCCCCAGCAGTGTTTGCCAGAATCGAAGGCCAGGAAGGAGGCATCAGAACCCATAGAGGCCTCATGTCTTTGGATCTTGCTACCTGTCCCTGCTTCCTGCTGCCCTAGCCCCTTCTGCCGCCCTCCCCCAGGCCTCATCGCATCACTGGCGCCCAGAGGATTGCCCGGCCCCCAGTAGAGTTAGCCGTGAGGAATAGAAAACAGTGCACCCAGAACTCCTCAGTGGGCCCGCGAGATAGGGAGCGACAGGTGTGGGCCCCGGGGTGTGTCGCCGGGACAGAGAAGGGGCCCGGCAGACGTGACAGAGGCCCTGCCTTGGACGTCACAGGCGGCCTGTGAACGTCAGGGTCTAACCCCCCAGGCAGGGTGGAAGACTCTAGAAGGGCTGGGGAAAAGCATTTTTGCAAACTACCTTCCAGCGCCTCATTTTTGGATACAGGCGTAGAGTTCAGATACGTTAAAAAAAAAAAATAAAACTCATCGTCATCATCATCACCCTCGAGTAAAAAAAGAAGTAAACCTAAAACTACAACTTGTAAATGGGGCAAAGCGTCATTTGAAGAATTGCTCTTAGGTCAAGTCTGAAAATACCGTATTAGTCACCGAAATCTGGCTTTGAGCTTAAAATGTCAGAGCGCGGGATGCTGGGAACACTACCAGTGCAGCATAAATAGTGTCGATCGGGGAGTCGGGTCTGTGATCCACGGGCTGCCTAGTGATTGGTGTCTAACTAGTATCATGGGGATCACAGCACATACTCCACAACTGCCATCCCAACTGTGTCTTTATTCTCCCGGACCCCCTGCCAGACATCTCTTTTGTGTCCTCGCGCAGCCCGGGACGTCAGGGGTTTGATGCTGTTTGGACGCCTCGGTGCTTTGTGGATATCCTCATTGAGGCTCAGACTGTCCGGTTTGGGTTGGGAGCTCCTATATCGCACGGAGCCCTAACCAAACAGCCATGCAGGGACCCAGTGCATTTCGGATCTGGTGCAAGCAGGAAACACGGGGCTTCTGGAACCTGGCAACTCGGGAGCTGGAAGTTGCTCTGCTTCTACTTTCCTGCTTCACAGCCAGAGAAGGCTCCGGAAAGAAGCGTGTGTGTTTGGAGAGGGGAGTGCATGCTTCACCTTCAGGTATTTGTATCATCTGAATGAATGCGTGAAATTTTGTTTTGATGATGAGATGGAAATATTGGGGTTTTTTAAAGCTATGATTTGGAAAATGAATCAAAGCTCGCACTATATTGTTTTTTAAAAATATATATATATCTGGG